GTACAGGCAAAGAAAGCTCCTGTGGGTTTTTCTGAAGGGGGCTTTGCTGATGGTCGAGGTCTTTAGTCCAGGGCTCTCCTGGCTCTTGCCATCCACTCCGCACTCTGGACGAGCCTGATCTGGTAGTTGAGGGTCAAGCTGGACAGCAGCGGCTCCTATTGCTCGTTGGCAGTGTTCACGTGGTGGTGTTCAAGGTTGAGTAGTGTGCACTCCCACGTAATGTGGTGCAGGGTTGGTGTGGACCCGCACCATGGGCATTCATCCCTGTAAGATATGGCGCTTGCGGCGTAGTGTGAGTAGGTTCTTGTAGGTTCCGGTTTGGAGTCTACGCCAGGCAGTAGCCTCCTCTATCGTAAGTAGGCTTGTGCAAATATTCCAATGCTTTGAATAATAGTTGAGTATTTGAATTTGCTTCGATTCGAACTTAAATTATTGAAAACTTCAAAGTATTGCCATTGATTGAAGTAGGTGTTTATTAATATGTACGAAACCGCTTGTAAAGATGGTTTCACTGCAGTGTAGGCGTGCTAAGTTGTGAAAGCACCTATTAGGAAGAATTTGCTCGGCCGCTAAGCTCCCTTTTCAAATTTAAAGGGGCCCTGCAACACTTCTGAGCATGGTCAGAAAATGCTACCGATCAGTAGTCGAGGGCGACCACTTGTCCACGAGTATGTGCGCGATCGCAATGAAAAGCCGCGTATTCAAAGAAAAGTAATAATGAAAGAAAAAGTGCTCAAGGTCACGAGGCACGCATGTGATGTTTTTTTCTTTCCCCGTGCCATCCCTCCCTGCTTAGCTTCCAGCTATTTTGCGGGACAAGAATGGAGAATACAATTGTAGTGTGCAATAAGTTTTTGAAACTCTGCTCGTACTGGACTGGTCCCAAAACTTTTGCGGCGATAAATTTGTAAGGCAACGAGCTTATTTACTGGCTCTGTGACTACTTGAAAAAATGTTGCAGGACCTTTTTAAATGAACATGTTACCCTTAAACAAGTTCATCCTTTTATTAAGCTTAAAAGTTGGTTATGATGGCTTATATGCACTAAGTATAATAAATTTTAAAATATTATGTATTTTCACAGTTATGACTCGCTTCCTACCGAAACTCGTATCCCACTACTACTCAAGGTTGTTTCAACTTCTTTTGAACGAAAAAAAAAAAAGATGACATTTCCATAGAGCCGCTTTTTCAATTTAAAAAAACATTGTACTGGTCAGTTAGGTGTGATAAACATTTCAATTTTTTTATATGTTCTACATACCATTCGAATTTGATTTAAAGTTATTCGACCAAAATCACAATTTGCTTCGAATTCGCTTCGAACTCGCTTCGAACCTAAAATTCACTATTCGCACAAGCCTAGTCGTAAGCTTTTGATAAGGGGGTGTATGCTGTAGACGTTGCCCTCTGTGCTAATCCAGTATTGCAGCATACTTGAGGTCAACTGGCTCCGGGTTCGTAGCATCAACACAAGCTCAGTTGTGCACGAAACCTCGAGCTGCCCGGTCAGTGTGCAGGTTGCTTGTGATGCCGAGTGTCTTGGTATTCATAGGACGGTTTGTATATAGGAGTCTTTCTTGTCTTCCTTTTGTATTTGTGCCAAGACATGTACAGCAGGCGTACTAATTCTGCCGTGCAGGAAGTTTCTGCAGTCCTGCTAGGAGTCTGCAAGTATTGTCAATGGCATGTTAGTATGCAGGCCTTCACGGATGGCAGGTGCAATGTGCTCTTCGGCTTCCGTGATCTTGCAAGGGCAGACTGATGCACTATAGACTGATTGTTCAAGTTGCATAAGATTGGGGAAATGTAATGTAACACCTCTCCCGCACGTGTTGAGGTATCTCACAGGTTACCTGGTCTCTCGTGGTCGAGGCTTGTAATCCCAAGTTCTGAAGGGCCTGTCGGTCCAAGCAAGTATGCTTAAGTCTGTTATTGTGAGACCTGAAAGCTCTCGGCAAGTTCGCTGAGGATGTTGGCAGGCTGAGGGCAGTCCTGAATGCCATTCGCAAAATGGTGTCGGCCGGTTGTGTCTCGGATTCTGTGAGACTATATAAGGGCAGGCTGTATGTTATTCTACTCACCATTAGGCTTCAAACGAGTCTTCCTTCATGTTACCCGAAATATCAAGTGCAGTATAGCCTTTACGCTGGTATGGAGGAGTGTAAAGGTGTGGGTGGCTTACTCTGCAGCCACATACCCAGGATCCTGATCATTGGTTTCTCTCAGGTTCTTGTGATGTATGAGTGTGGTTACTTGGGCTTCGCCATACACGCAAGATTGCTGATTTCTCTGGGGGAGCACTGTGAACCCCATTGGCTGACATATACCAGACGATGTTAGCCATAGTTTGCAGGCACTCTTCCTTTACAGCAAGTGATCCTTTTATGGTCCAGAGTGTCATGCCATCTGCATAGAAGGTGTGGTGGAGGCCTTTCACCTCTTGCAGTTTTCTTGAAAGACCAATCATGGCGGCGTGCCCTTGTTGGGAGGTTGGTGTGCAGGAGTCTGGAGCTCTCCGATTTTCAGCTCCACCGTGTGGTGGCTTAAGAAGCTCTGAATGTACTTTCAGTGGAACCCTGATTATACAACTTTTGAGGGGACCACACAAGACAGATCAAGATAAGAAAAAAAAAAAGGTTAGAGGCACTGACACTAAGCCTCTACCACGAAAATAGGTACAGATTGCCCTAATCAGCCTGTGGCATGACCTTGTGCCTCTGCAAGGAAGGTAGATTAAGTTATTCTTGCAGTGCCAGTGACATAGCTAGAGGAAATGCGAGCGAATCTTTATTCTCAACTTAATAAAAAATTGAACCTAACGCGGATCTTTCTGTTGATATACAAGATCAGAAAATTTCCCGCGCGTAAGAACGAAACTGAAAGCGCGTTGGCAACAGCTTCCCATCACAAGTCAGCCACAGTCTCATTGCTATTGCATTATTGCAACAACCCACGAGTTTGCATAATATAATGCCTTCGTTTGCAACTAAGCTGTGCGCATCACAATTTGTTGGCTTATGAAGTGCAGCTAGTGATGTCCCACTGTTGTTATTAACGTGGACATCCAGTGAAAGTAGTTTCGCACGGTGGAAAACAGCTCTGTCACGCTTGTGCGTGCGCAAGCCTGTGACTGCGACAAAGGCAGGAAATTCGCTGTATGTTGACCAGTAAAAGTTTCCACGAACCAAAAACGTGAAATATCAGCTTTTTGGTCAGCTGAACCTATAGATACTCTGTATGGATAGAGCTTGTGCACTATCGAGGTGTTTGTAAAAGCTTATGAACTTCCAGGAGAATAAATTCTCCACTCTAAGAAGACATCCTGTCCCTACTTTCCTAATCTGCAATCTAGGGAACACAAGTTAATATTTTGGAATATGTGGTAAGTGTTTGATTAGAGTAAATGTTTTTTTTTTTTTTTTCGGACGGAAACTGAAAGTCGTCGCCACGTGGGGGTCAATATAAAGCTTCATCGTATAACCAAGGTTTTAATACATTGTTTCTATGGAGACTTTGCCGGCACCAATCCAAATCGATTCATCGTAAAATACGGGTCGTCGTGAGACCGAAGGAGGTAAAATCGAAGTTCGACTATTTATGTTCCTGTGCCGCAGTTGGTGTTGGCGAGCCCTCCCAGTAGTCCTTAGTGGCTGATATTGTGGAAAGCCCTTTCAATGTCGATAGCTAAAGGATGTATTCACTCTTGTGCTTGCAAGGTTGCTGAGAACCTCATCTTTAATGTGCAATAGTAGGACGTGTGAGCACTGGCCAGCACAGAAACTAAACATGGTGCCGGGCAGATGCTTATTTTGCAGGTGTTTTTGTAGTCTTGGGAAATTTACAATTGTTTTGTACGCCTTGCCAAGGTAGGATGTCAGGGAAATGGGCCTGAGGTTTTCGATTGCAAGCTTCTTGTTTTGTTTGAGGATCGTTTTTAATGGTGGTAGAAAACACGCATAATCTGGTCAGTGTACTTAAATCAATCACGGATGTTTCTAGACATCTAAGCCATGCTCAGAATATTTCTGGATAAATCGAGAACAGCCAATTTTCTATCCACAGCAGTATTGATGATAGAGAATACAGGCACCTTGAAAGGTGCCAACATCAAGTGACACAAGATGCTTTGTTTGCTGTGGAATAAAATTTGGTCTAGTGGTCTGTATCAACTTTTGATACGATGTGTGAAGGCCGTAAACAATGTGCGACTTTCTTCTATGCAGCTGAAGCACTTTTCGCTTTTTTCTAGTGCTGCTTCGAGACAGACGAGCCTTACGCAGTTTTTCTGTTCTAGACAAAATAACAATGCCTAAATAAACAAGTGGTTGATATTTTTAGTTAGTTTGTATTTTTTTGTTTTGGTGGCCTTTGCAAGGAGTCAGCTTAGGAGCTGATCCGTACTAATCTCTACTTTGCTTTGGGATTCTCGAAATATTGCTTTTCTTAAAGATCCCTTTTATTTCTCAATTCTTTCACGATTTTATTACTGTGTGTTAACCAGATATTACTGTGTAGACCACACAAGCTAAAAAAATCTTATCATTCTTGCTTGCCCTCTGGTCCTGACAACCATATGCATTATTGATTGGCATTCGTTTATCATTAACTCTGACATATTTCGCCTCACTAAATTATTTGAATGACCATCAGGAACTTCAATCACCATGAATGTGCAACACAAAAGCTGTTCATCAGTGAGTAACCCAAGCAGCTAAATCAGGTTGAAATACTTTGTTAATCATATAACATTGACCTTAATTTACTTATTGGAATTTTTGTTGCTTCCTTTTATAGCTGCATAATCTGCATGAGAAGTGGCTTCATGGTTTGAAAATGTTACACCACAGTATGGTACACCCTGCTGCAAAATCACCTTCTCAGGCAGAAAGATGTGTTCGTTTCCAGTACCGAAATCATAGTGTATATTATATGCAATATGCACCCAAGTGCTTGCTGGCGTGTGTCCCCAGCGCTGTGATGCCTTTCTCTTTGTGCAGTCGCTGAGCTTTGACTGTAACTTCTTTGTGGAGTACTTTGCCATGGACCTGCTGATGGAGAATGACGAGTGCCGGGGTGTGATGGCACTTTGCATGGAGGATGGCACTCTCCACAGGTTTCGGGCCAAGAACACCGTCCTTGCCACTGGGTGAGTACCTTTTTTTTTTTTTTTTTTGTGGTGGTTTTTGTCGTTTTCCAGTCCTTTCGTTTCTTCTGTGTCATAGCAAGTGCAGATCAGCCAGCCGACCTGTTGTTATTATTCAAGTGACCTTTTGTTCTCTCACCACGTTCTATGCACAGGGGCTATGGCCGCACCTTCTTCTCCTGCACATCAGCACACACGTGCACAGGTGACGGCAACGCCATGGTGACCCGGGCAGGGCTGCCCCTGCAGGACATGGAGTTTATCCAGTTCCACCCGACGGGCATTTATGGGGCTGGATGTCTCATCACCGAGGGTGAGCTGGCTTTATAAGATGGTGCTCTGTCTGTCATCTTGCTCCCCCTTCATCTCTTACATCTTTGGATATGCATCAAAACGTGGGTACGTCAAGGAGCTGTTGCCCACTGATACTCCGGAACATCTTTCCTCCAATAGGGCTCCGCTAGGCACCTCCTCAGGGCTCATGCTTATTGTTGGTGTAAGGAAAGTGAGTTGATTTGCAAGTTAGTGAATAAATTTTTTATATACACATGATTTTGAAATTTATTGCACATGAAGGTAGCGGGAACCCAATGAAAAAAACACCAGGCCTGCGCAGAAGGCTAGCATGACGAAGGATAGCATAGCGAATGCTGACCTCTACCCAGAAGTTATTACAGTGAAAGCTCGTTAATTTTAACTTCAATAATTCAAATTTATGGATAATTCGAACTGTAAGTTATGGTCCCGCCAAGCTCCATACAAGCCTATGAATAAAAAAGCCCGTTAATTCGAACACGAGTAGGTTCCACCGCGGATAATTCGAACTAAGCGCCACCGCGCCGGCGACTTGGCTAGTCACTAGATAGGGCGGCTGCCGAGTTACGAGGCGGCGTGGACAGGGAGCGGAGAGAAAAACAGAGAAACTGGCACAGAGGCTAGAATGCAAAAAATAGCACCACTTACTCTTCGCCCCCCTCTCTACCACAATCTTTCTCTCTCGGCGGCTGCCTGCTTTCCGTCCCACGTAACCTCCAAGATTTTTTTTTTAAGTGCCAATCTCGGACCCTTTGAAAATCCTGTGTAGTTGTCGCTGTTAGACGACAGATGGCATGACCAGCACACAGCAAATCGGGTGCGTTGTAGCTTCACCCAGCCTTCTCTGCAGTCTCTGTCTCGGGTGTGCGTCGTACACCTCGGTTGTTCGTGCTGGGAGTAGCTTCCGACTGTCGCGATTCTTTGTGTTGGTGTTAGGCCTCGGCTAACGTTTGGTTGCTGTAGCGCCGGTAGTAGCTTCCCGTCTGTCGCGATTCTGCTGCTCCGACTTGATGGCGTGTGCCCCCGGCAAATACCGTGCCAAAACACTTAAGGAAAAAGCTGATATCCTTCAGGAAGTGGACGCCGGACTCTTGCCTAAGCAAGATATCGCGAAAAAGCATGGGATACCGAAAACGACGCTATCTACTTATATAAAAAATAGGACTATTGAAGACACCTTAGAGGCAAAAGTTGCAAGCAAAAGGAGGAGGCTGCGGCCCGCAAAGTATCCTGACCTCGAGAAAGCGCTTCTCATTTGGAAAAGGAAATGCGTTCGCAGGACATACCACTGAGTAACCCAGTCATACTGGCAAAGGCAGCGGACTTCGTCCTGCAGCTAGACTGCGATGACTTCGCTGCTTCAGATGGGTCGTTGCACAATTCTCACGAGCACTACGACCTTGTTTTCCGTGCTGTGTCGGGTGAGATGAACGCCGTCAATATGGAAACGTGTGAAGGTTGGCGCTCTGAAGTTGTTCAAGGCTACATGGAGAAGTATTCTCCGCAGGACATATTTAATGCGGATGAAACTGCCTTATTTTTCAAATTGCTGCCTGCCAAAACTATCACGTATAGAGGCGACAAGTGCACGGGAGGGAAGAAAAGTAAAGAACGGATAACTGTGATTGTTGCTGCGAACATGACCGGGACCGAGAAGTTGCCTCTTTTTGTGATAGGCAAATAGAGAAGTCCTCGTTGCTTCAAGAACATCTGGTCCCTCCCATCAGACTACGTGGCCAACAAAAAGGCCTGTATGACTGGAAGACGTCTGCTTTGCGGACTACGTCGATGTGGACTCAAGTGCAGTGGTGTGTGGTGATAGGCAAATAGAGAAGTCCTCGTTGCTTCAAGAACATCTGGTCCCTCCCATCAGACTACGTGGCCAACAAAAAGGCCTGTATGACTGGAAGACGTCTGCTTTGCGGACTACGTCGATGTGGACTCAAGTGCAGTGGTGTGTGGTGCACTCACGGATGGCGACATAATATGTCAGGTGAGGAGTGCAGAACTTGTCGCTGCCAGTGACGATGATGATGAGGAGGAGGACGAAGCACCAGTGCGGCCCTCTGCTGCGGAAGTCATGGCCGGATTGAATGCCGCCCATTTTTCCTTAAGTTTTGAAGAAGGCGAGAAGAGGCCTTCCGCCAGATTCGCTCATTAGAGCAAAGAGGGCTGGTTGACGCCTTCCAGAAAGCAGACCGCGATCACAGAATTTTTCATAAAATAAATTGTTATGCCCTACTCGCAGTGTACTATTGTTGTTCTTCACTTTCGTTATTCGAACTGAGGTGGCTTCCCCTTGTGGTTCGAATGAACGAGCTTTTACTGTATTAACAATAGCTGAGTGGGTACCCAGCAAGTGTAGTTACACCAGTTACTCAATGAGTGTTTAGAAAAGGCTCTGAAAGGCCATGCTTCTAGCTTTTGCTGTGACTGTGCTGCGCCTTCCACACAGGCCTGGTGTTTTTTCTTTCAATATGTGATATATATATATATATATATATATATATATATATATCCTGCTTACAGTTGGTAATTTTTTCATCCACTTTTCTTCTTCTTATTTACATTCCATTAATGTTAATAACTTCCCCTGTACATTCCTTGGCATTACTGTCTGTTATATCTCATTATTATTGTGTTAAAAACACGGAAAAAACGAGCCCTTAGGTATACACTTCTTTCCCTTATATATATATATATATACATATACATACATACATACATACATACACACACACCGTATTTACTCGTGTGATTCTCGCACTCGCATAATTCTTGTACCCCCCACTTCGCCCTAGAAATATACAATTTCTCTTTTTCCTCGAGTAATTATCGCATCCCCGAAAGCTGCCGCAATAATGTCGTCTGCTCGTTCCAGCCACTGATGATGATAGCACGCATCATCCGCGCCATCTCTTAAGCATCAAGCGAAATATTGCATGCAGATTCAATCTAATCCAAGCCAAGCCGAAGTGGCCGGTGCGCGTTGCGGCCTGTTTTGTATACTGTCTCGGTAATCTTGGCACGTTATGGGGTGATACTGAAGCTACACGGCTTCTTCAAGTTGCAAGTGAGAGATCATGCACTAAATGACGGCCACTAGGGCCGCCAGTAGGCCCTTCGTAGTCTACGAGTTTTGTGTTCGCTACTGGTGACGGCAGCTGAAAGCCACCAAGACGCGTTAGGCCTGCCGTGTGCCTAAAACTAGGATTAATGGTAAACTTAATTTCTTCAGAAGGAAATTGCGGACGATTCTGTTAAATAGCCATCATCCTAATACTGACGTCCTACGCTTACCTTTTGAGGGCTCCTGTTGAGCGACGAACGCTATCCGCTACGCCCGCGACGCCCACAAGCCTTGCGTATGGTATTTTAATTCTCGACTATTTGCTTCCACTTTTTGTGTCTCAAATAAATCTTGCCTTGTGTTCAACCTCTGCTTTTATTGTTGAGGTGAGTATTAATTAGTACTTCTTAAAGCTTCCTGTAAGTTGTTGGTGTGAGAATCCCGATTTGCGGCCACTTCGTTTTCTTTTTCGCTCGGTACGTTTTCGTGGAAAGCTTTCCCCGCGCAATTCTCGCACCCCCAACTTTGCATCAGTTTTGCGGCAAAAAAAAAGTGTGAGGAATATGCGAGTAAATTAGTAAATATGGTATATATATATATGTAGATACCGTATTTACTCGATTCTACCGCACCCTCGATTGTAACGCGCACCCGATTTCTACCGTGAAAAAAAAAAAAAAAAAAAAAAACGTAAGACATCGATTGCAACGCGCACCCATTTTTCTCGCTGGCCCGCATGATCACACCACTCGAAAAAACGACTCCTTTCGGGAGCGTCTTCCATTTAAATATGAGGTAAGGGCGAAGCTTGTGCCCATCTGACGTGTAACAGAGCATTGCCGTCACTGTAGTTTTACCGTGGACCAATGTCATCACGCGAACTTGCTTCGCCCCCTTCTCGACGGTTATGGTGCCAGGCATGTCGAAGTAAAGAGGCGTCTGATCGGCATTCCCGATTTGCTCAAGCAGGTAGCCGTTGTTGCGCCGCAAGTTTAGTACGAACCTCTGAAAACTGTGAAGCTTTTCATCGTACTTCCTCCGCAAAACTTTTCATTTATGCATGTTCCCCTTCGAAGGGAAAAGCGTTTCCTCTTCATAAAGTTAGTTAGCCAGAACCTGCTCGCTTTAAACTGGCTCCACATTAGACCTTTTTCTAAGACTAATTGCATAGCCCGCACTTCGAGCAGTTCTGTCGTCACGGGCCGCTGTGCCGCTCGCTGCTCAAGCACATACTCGCCGAGCAGCTCTTTAATTTGCGGAAACCGACCCTGCTGTGGTCCACTGAAGCCTTTGCGTGAAGCTTTGCTGTCGACAATCTTCTGCTTTTGTTTCCGCCGATCCCACACGCACGTTTCGGGAACTCCGAACGACTGCTATGCGGCCCGATTTCCGTCCGTTTCCGCACACGCGATGGCTTTTCTTTTAAAAGTGGCATCGTGGTGCACTCGAGTTTTTGGAGGCGGCCCTTCCACGCCGTCGATGCTAATGCACTACTAGATGACGAACTCCTCAGCACACGTACGAAGTGCCGCACATGGGAAACACATAGGCAGAAATGGCTGACGCGCCATGCCGACGCACGTAGGGGGCGGCCATTTTGGATTTGCCGATGGCAATAGATTGAACGTATTTTTTTGTTCGTACTCGATTCTAACGCGCATGCGATTTATGAACTCGCTTAACCGGAAAAAAGGTGCGCGTTAGATTCGAGTAATTACGGTAATCACATACATACATATGTATACACCATTTGAATACGGTTAAAAAATTTTTGACCAAAATCACGATCCGCTTCCAACCTAGAATTCAGTATTCGCACATGCTTGGTATAAATATATACAGTCGAATCGTGATAATTCCAACTCAAAGGGGCTCGAAAATTTGTTTGAATTAAAAGAAGTTCGAATTAATGAAAGGTAAGCAAACGG